TATCTCAAGAATTCAATATGGCATAATATTTCGTAAATGAACACATGACGTCCGTAATCACATAATCTCGAATAAGCAAACATATCATATTGATAGGAGCATATTTAGGTGACTTAATTAGCTTGTTTTCTTACATTTATGTTGTTAGTTCATAGTTATTTTAGTATTTTAAGCTATTTTTGTGTGTTTATAGGTTCATTTGGCTAAGGTAGCAATAAGGTGCATTTTGGAGCCTTTTGGAGCAAAATTGGACTTGGAATGGATAGCATATGCTTGGAGCAAAAGGAATGGACGAAATTGAAGACCTAAAGATGTTAGGATTCCTAATCAAAGAAGGTTTCCTACTTGAAGTAGGAAAGTTAAGCCAAGATTTCCTATTTTGGTTTGACCTTTCCTAATCCTAAAAGCCCTATGTTCCAGCAACCTTGAAGGACTCTTATGCATTTAAGGACACAAAGTAAACCTTCCTTGCATCCTCATGTTCCTTACCGTGCATTGCCTAAACCTTCCCTTCCTTGCCGTGCAAGGGAAATGCATATTTCCTATTTTGTGTCACAAGATTACATTCCTCTTTCACCCCATTCTTAGATGCACCTTACATACCTATTCTATCCTAAATTCTTGCCTAATTTCATCCTTAAAACACATTCCCTTTCTTACTCTTAAATGCCGCAAGTTTACTTCCCCTTTTCCCTTTAATTTCTGACTTTGTGTCTCCTTTTCCTTGTGGATTTGGGGTCTAATCCTTTCCTAAACTATGTAATAAAAGTTAGGATTCTTTCCTTCAAATAAATACGCAATGCCGAACCCTTCGAGAATCCTAATCATTCACCCACACAATTAGCCATCATTCACAAAACACTTAAGCCTTTGCCGCAGCCTTCAACATTTCTTCCACCATTCCCATACTTCCATACCTTCACCCAAACACCTATACATCATCCCTAACCTTTGCCGCACCCTCATACCAACCTAAATCCATTCATAACCCAGAAATCCATCCAAAATCACCCCTAGACTCTTGTGCCGCAGCTTTGCAAGGAAGAAGAAGAGAAGAAGAAGCATTGGACATTTGTGCATTCAAGTTGGAGTGTTGTAACGTTTTTAGGTGTAATCTATCTTTTGTTTTCAAAGTTTAATTCAAGTTTCCTTTGTTTTGTTGTGAACATGAGAGGCTAAATTTGTTTATATTTATGATATGAATTGATTAAGTCCAGTTGTGATTTCATAAATTGTGAATGCAATTTACTTAACCGTTTGATGGATAACTTATTCTTGTATGTTGATTAGGGAGGCCTACATAATTTGCATGCTTGAATTTGGTGCTAGAATATAAGGAAGTTTCACATAATCGTTACAAACTTATATTCACAAGTAGTTAAGGTTGTTTTCACAATCATGTTAAGTAAATTCCTAGCATGAGTATCATGATGTCATAGTTACAAGTGCTTTGTCAATACTTATGATTTTCATAGAACGTAATGATCTTTGATTGTATCTCTATTATGATGTCATGTAGGGAACTTTTGAAGAATGCTTTGGGTTGTCATATGATGTCATCCAATCCAATAACTAAAGGAAAATCTGAGGGTTAATTAGTGATGTCACGGTTAATCTGGGGTGTTGAGGTTCATGGTTTATCGAAAAAGCAACTGGAAATCAATTTGTGTTTGAATGTATCATGTGTGGAAAAGTATCCTCTAGCTATCTAATCATCCATAGTTTTTCTTAAATTCGTCCAAATCTTGCTTAAGTCTTTTAGTTGTTTTTACATTAATTTCGTCCAAAACCCAATCTTCTTTACTTACTTGTTTCAAATCTGTCCTAAAGTGTGTTTTTGAGTATTTTGAGTCGAAACCAATTCTATTTTCGTCCAAATTGAGTCCTAGAGTCTAATTTGAGTCTATTTGGTTGTTTTATGTTGTTTTAAGTCTTTTAAGTTTGTTTTGAGTCATATAAGTTTAGTTAAGAGTCTTTTAAGTTTGTTTAAGTGTTTTAAGCATATTTTTGTATCTTTGAGTCATTCTTCATTAGATTAGCAATCCCTCCTAATCCCCGGCCTAGAACGTTTCGTACTTATATCTATACTACAATTGTCAAAAAGAGGGTTTAATTTGAGTGCTATCTTTTATCACATCACATATCAAGTGCTCATCAACACATGCTGACACACAAATCGATGCAGAAATATTCTAACAAGAATAGGATATGGTGTAACAATGATATACGCTCTAGTACTACAATCACGTGAAGACTGGCGTTATGTGCAGCACATATGAGTCCTAATTGCCTATAGCAATCTAGGACAGAACTAGCATCTATAATGGATCCAAAGTGAGCGTACAGTGTGATGTGCATATCCATGTGAAAAACTGGCCCTGGCCCGGGTGAGTAATAACACTGGTACAGAAAACGATGAGCATATAACATAAATATAGTCATGCCACAGTGATTCAATAATTCTAGTCAACATAATATCATTCATAGCCGTAAAGTTAAATGAGGCATCTCATAAGATGTATAATGATTTCCTAATTCTCAGCGTTACGTCATTTCCTATAAACGTTAATTTAATTACGACAGTCATATAGAAAATTCATTATTAGATGTATACATGGAAACTAAATAAATATATGTATATATTAAAGAAAAGACCCACTCACAGATCATGTCGTCAAGTTGAACCCGTCTTGTAGCATCAAGAGTCCTTGTGATGCGTTTCACCTAGAAATGAAACCATTCATGTAAATACATAACGTACTAACGTATTGTACAAAGTACGGCTAATAAAGAAACTATTTTTGATGTGAAAATTAACTTGACACAGAAATTAAACCCTATTGATGACAATTGTAGTATATATGCAAGTAGGGATTGTTCTAGACCGGGGATTAACTAGGGATGCTAATCATCACAAATAAGACTTAAAAACACTAATTTAGACTCTATAGACTTAAAAGTACTCAAAATACTCAAAACAGCAACAAACAATAAAAAAAGACTCAATTCTAGACCTAACAAGTGATTTTGACGAAATAAAACTTAATTTGACTCAAAAGAAGCTAACTTGACTCTAAACAACTCAATACTATCAAATAGACACAAAACTGACTCTATGGGGATACTTAGACAAAATTTAACTAACTTAGACTCAAAATAAACAATGGAGACAGATTTAAACTAGTTCTAACTAAAGGACACAACTCAATGTCAAGGGGGTTTATTTGGACGAATTTAAACCTAAACTTAACAGATTGCAAAACAACTTAAAAGACTTCAAATTAAGGTGAATTAAATGGGTGAAAGGCTAGTTAGAGGTGTAAACACGAATTTTCCTGAAACAAGAATACGTGTACAAAATATATTTTGTATTAATGATTTTGGGGTTACAATCTCTTTGTAATTTGATCCTCTGATTCTATCCTCGTAGGGTGTAGGTTTGTGGATGAGTTGTTGATCCAAAGGGTTGTTGGGGCTTGATCTAGGGATAAACAGTTGATGAATGAATCTTCAAGGGCCGTTGGGATTGATCTTGAAGAATGGGTGTATGGGTTTGTTGATTTTTTGTTAATCCAAAGGGCCGTTGAGGCTTGATCTAGGGATGAATAGTTGATGAACGATGAACACTTTCTTCGAGGGCTGTCAGGGCTTGATCTCGAAGGTTGAGGGAAGTTTCTTCAAGGGCCGTCGGGGCTTGATCTTGAAGGAGGATTTGACGAAGAACGAAGAGGGTTTTACTGATCCTTCGAGATTTTCTTGAGAGCTTTAGAGTTTCAAAGCTTCAAGGTATTGGTGTGATGTAAATTCCTCCCCTTTTTTGTCTTGATGGAGAAGCCTATTTATAGGCTTTGAGAGTGAATCACCACCATCCATTTTTTTGGTGAAGTGAGTAGATGTTGTAGGTGAAATCAGTGGAGTTGGTAGGTGAAGTAAGTGTGTGATGTAGGTGAAATGAATGGAGTGTGTAGGTGAAATGAATGTGTGATGTAGGTGAAATGAATAAATATTGTAATTTTAATGCATTGGTTAACATTTATTTCACTGAAATTTCAGTGTCTACAAATGCCCCCACTTCAAGGCGCGTCGTATACATGTGCTTGTCACGTGTAGAAGATACGTTTTGAAGTCCCTTAATGTAGATGTCGATCTAAGGGCCGTCGAGGCTTGATCTTGAATTAGGCTAGAAATTTCTTCAGGGGCCGTCGGGGCTTGATCTTGAATTCGACTAGAAGATTTTCTGGTTTCCTCCAATCGTTGATTTTCCACAGGCTTAATCTTGAACTGGGCTGGAGGGTTTTTTGGTCTCCTTCGAAGGTCTGAACTTACTCATTTTATCTGGAGTTGAATTTGATTCAAGGGTGGTGAACACTTGATTTTGAATTGAACTTGTGATTTCTTCAATGGCCATTGAGGCTTAATCTTGAATGAAAATAGGACCACGAGCGGTTTCAAGATTCAGACACATGGTAGGCAAGCACGAGGTGGAGGTGATGGCCTGTTCTTTGTTCAATCTTTCCAATTCATATTGAAGAGGGTTAGGGGATGAATCAGCGCATGCAGTTGTTACGTTTGCTGATGATCCACAAGATTGATGTTTCATTGTCACTCGTTTTATCTGTTCTCCAGGCAGATGTGGTATCTTTTCTGGAAGTGTATCAACCGTTGAAGATGACTACTCGAGAGCAATGCTAGGTAAGCAATCAGCGAATAGGTTCCAGATCGGAAGGCTGATTCCGAGTGCCAACTGATTGCTCTTTTTGTCCTTGCCCTGCAGGTAAGAACAAGGACAAAGGAAAGGACATGGAGAAAGCATGATATGACATACTCTTGCTTTCGACCTTGATGATATGAGATACTTTCGCTTTTGAAGAAGTACTGGCGATTTAATGGCGTCGCGAGGCGAGGCTTTGTTCTTTGGCGACGATGCCAGCGGAAGGTTGTTAAGGCTTATCAAGCTCTTTGATTAGAACAACAATGTCGAGCTTGGATTTGGCTTAAACTCCTCCATCTGGATTATGCGGTTCTGCATTGGAGGGCATCGTGCTACGGTGATTTGTTCCAGCTCCTTGTACTGCATTCTTCTCGGCTTGTTTCTTTTTGCATAGTCGAGGTGGCGCACAACCTTTTGCCTTTAAATGGTCTTTCAGAGCATCACTTCTCAGCAATTTATCCATGTTTGGCAGCTTCAGTGTAAAGAGCCGACATCATGTCACCTGTCCTGAAGTATTCGCTGAGGGAATTCGAGACTCACCAACAGTTGAAGACGAGCACTTGAGAGCAACGCTAGGTAAGCAACCAGGCAAAGGTTTTGGGCAATCAATTCTAGATCGAAAGTTTGATTTCGGGTTCTGACTGATTGCTTTCTTTCTCCTTGTCTTGTAGGCAAGAACAAGGGCAAAGGAAAAGACAGGGTAAAAGCATGATATGAGACACCTTTGCTTTCGCCCCTGATGATATGAGATACTTTTGTTTTCGAAGAAGTAGCGGATAAATCAACACATATATTTGTTGCGCTTATCTCCACATACCTCGATCTACCGTTTCCTCCTGCCTCATCCGTTCTCCAGGCATCTGGGATCTTCTTTGGGGGTACATCAACAGTTGAAGATGAGTATTTGAGAGCAGTGCTGGGTAAGCAATCAGGGGAGGGGTTCCAAGCAGTCGGTTCCAGACGGGAAGCTTGATTCCCAGTGCCGACTGATCGCTTTCTTTCTCTTTATCTTGCAGGGAAGAAGAAGAACAAAGGAAAGGACGTGGAAAAGGCATGCTATGAGATACTCTTGCTTTCGACCCTAATGATATGAGATACGTTTACTTTTGAAGACTTGGTTGAAGAGGTGTTTTCAGGGAAGAAGAAAACTGAGTATATTGAGAGGTTTTGTTGCAGCTGCATTCTTGGCAAAGAAGAAGAGTCAGGCGCTTTGGATGTATGCCTTGCCATGAATGTTGACATATATAGAGATTTTAATAGCAGGTAGTGGTGCGGGTGCGGCTTTGTCAGCCACGCTTGTCGGCAAAAGTGTGGTAGTTGGAATAATGAACTCCACGCGTTTTCAACTTTGTCAGAGATCTTTGACAAAGTTGCACGCGTTATCTAAAAAGCTAAGATTGCGTTTGAAAAGTGTTAACGAACTTTACGCAGGAAAATCCGGCTTTTAAAATTCGAAGAGTAGTGTCTTTTCGATTTTTTTTTTTTGAATTGGTGGTTGTGTTGCGTCTCATTTTATAGAGGTATCGATCACATCCAACATGCACACTTTGAAGATTGCCTGCTCGTGAAAATCGTCTCCGGTGTTTTTTTTTTTTTTTTTTTTTTTTCGAGATTTTACTCCATCCAACCCTTTTCTTTTAACATCCTTGAAAATGGCTAACCCATCTAACATTTTCTTAGATTTGAGTCTCAGCGGTGATACAGGTGCGCCGCGTCAGGGTAATATATGGTGCCCGTCTTTCTTATCTTCTAATGGCCCTCTTACAGGTGAAGACTCCGTGATGAGGGATGCAACAACAGCTACGGTAGTAGCTAGAAACCTCCTAACTCCTAGAGATAATAGGTTGCTTTCAAGACGGTCCGATGAGCTAGCCGTTCAAGAGCCCCTAGCTCTCAGTGTTCAGTGTGCGGGTTTTGTGTCCAACATAGGCCAACGCCTACTTACTCGAACCCATCAAGTTGAATCATTGACACCCGAGGTGGAAAATCTTAGACAAGAGATCAGACAGCTTAAGCGCGAGAATAGAGATTTGCACATACTTGCAAATAATTATTCGACGAGCATGAAGAGGAAGCTTGATCAGCTGCAAGAATCTGAAGGTCAGATTCAAAGTGACCATCAGAGGTTTGTGGCTTTCTTCCAAAGGCATCTTTTGCCTTCGTCATCTAGCATTGAACCAAGTATTGAGGCTTTGAATAATCTATCTTCAATGCCTCCCGCTCCAAGGGTTTCGCCAAGTAGTGGGGCTTCACGTGAGCAACCTTTGTGAAGGCTCCCTTTTTTTTTTTCTTTCTTTCTTTTTTTTTTTTTTTTTTTTTTTTTTTTTTTGTACGCATTTGTAATTTCTCGGGGATATCAATAGACATGTTTTATTTCATTCAGCGTATTGTGTTAAGTACAAACAAAACATATTAAGATATGCTACTTCCTTCCTTTTTTTTTTTTTTTTTAATGATATATGTGTGTGTGTGTGTGTGTGTGAGTGTGTGTACGTGTATGTGTGTGTGAGTGTGTGTGTATATATATATATATATATTTTATCATACTTTTCCAAGGTGATGCCGTGCACCATCCTTCCTTTCTTTTCTTTATTTATTTATTTTTTTTCAATGATTTTGTCGCCACCACCTCTTTTCCATTTCCTTTTTGACTTGCTAACAGTAGCTTGCACCTTCTTTTTGTGTGTGTGTCCATGCTCTGATGACGAGAGTACGGTAGACTGACACTGCTGGGTTCCTCGATGCACCACATCCTTCTCGTATGCGAACCATCTTTTTACTTGTACAGTCACCTTATTCCATTCTTCACTGCATGTGGATTGTTGTTTGCTCGATCACTGCACCATTATTTGCACAGTCCGCACTTCTTTTACTTCTACAGGTTCTTCTATATATATATATATATATAATGTACATGTATGGGATCGAACTGTCACCGCACAACCATTACACAGTCACTGCATTGCTTGCTGCCTTGCATCTCGACTGCCTTACCCTGCAATCCTGTGCTACTGCTGACTGCAACGGGGTTCCACTGTGTAGTGCCTTTTTATCACAGTTTTCCCTCGGTGGTGCGCTGTCGTGTGATGTTGTTCAAGAGATTGCAGCGGGGCTTTGCTATGTAATGCCTTTTGGTCACAGTTTTCCTTTGGTGGTGACGTCGCCATGCGATGTAAGAAACCTCTTGCATAATCGCTGCGGGGTTGCGTAGTGCGATTGCGTGGCATTTTTGTTTTCTTTGCCACTATAGCGTGTCTTGAAGGACCGTTCTGTGGCTGCCCTCTTTGTTGTGTTGCTCAAGTTTTGTGGCTGATTTTTTTTTGTTGCGGTCATGGTATTTTTCAAGTGTTTTAAGAGCAACACCATCACCATTCTTGCGAAGGAAAGTGATTCACAAGATAGGGGAACAACGTTGAAGCTTTGCGTGCCACTGACTGGTCCTAAGGCGCTTGCTCTTCCTGTAAAAGACAACTCCATGCATATTAAGTCGTGGTCTTCTGAAGTATCTGGGGAGGTGGTAGACTTTGTTCGACCAAATACAGAGAAGAATGCGTGCACATTGAGGATTCTTATCTTGAACTCTTCGCACCATTTTTGTGACAATCATCCGGCTTCGTTTAAGATTCTTGGTGATCACATTCGCAACAGAGCTATGGCTTGGAATGATACCTTGTCTACTACTGGAGAAGCTGTTTTTGCTGAGTCTTATTGGGAGTGGCTTGAAGATGTCTTGGGCCGATCTAAACATGTGCTTACTAGCATGAACCTTTACCACACGGTGTACATATCTTTGTTTAGTTATGATATTCATTATTCCGTCCTTCATGCGTTCTTCGAGCATTGGTGTTCAGTGACTAACACGATTCATACGGCTCAAGGAGATATGTCAATTTCACTTTGGGATCTCCACAGGATAGGGGGCTTGCCAATCCAAGGTAAGTTTTATGACGAGGTCGTTCCTAATGCGGGGGAACTTTATCTCTGTAATAGCCGAGGATTGCCTACAAGTTGTCGCTGTTTATTTTTGGAGTATCACAAGCTTTCCTAAGATGCTCGAGGTAAATCAGGTGTGAAGATTTCTTCATGGATCCGATTTTGGTATTGGGAGGACATAAGGTAGAAGAAGTCCTTGAAGAAAAGAGGTTGTAACAAGACCACTAAGCTAAAGGGAGACCCATACCCGTCTAGTGATATTGGTTCAGCTAGGCGGTCCCCTGCCGAGTTAAGAGCGTTTAGCATCAAAGCATGTGGAAGAATCTTACCTAGCTATTTTCTTAGCTTGTTGGCTTTGTAAGTTTGTTTTTCCAACAGGCGACGTCAACTTTGTTCGTCCTGGAGTTTTCAAAGTTGCTAGCAAGATGGCTACAGGTGAATCTTTTAGTCTTGCTATCCCAGTCCTAGCCAACATTTATAACGGCTTAAGCGTTGTTTCGAACTCGGCTAACACTGAAGAACATGCTGCAGTTTTTCCCTACCACTATGTGTATGGTTGGTTGGGTAAGTACTTTGGCACTTATTTTTCTTCTTCAACTTTAGAGAAATCAGGGCCTTCTTCATCGACTTCAGTCAAACTGGGGCCTTTGATGATGAAGTATTCTAGCGTGCTTTCTTCGAAGAACCTCGATGATTCCCAGGCGCAAGCGCTACTTAGAAGTTGTGAAGGCTTGAGGATGGACTGCTTGGCGAGAGTTGGCTCGGTACGGTGAAGCATCATGAATGATTCGCATCTTCGCTTCAGCCGTATAGTCCCCACCGTTTCATCAGGCAATTTGGTTTTGTCCAAAATGTGCCAGGCAAGCTGAAGGAAAAAAAACCAATTAGAATCCTTGCAAGCTGTGTATATGCATTGGGAGTCTTGTACCCATGCATGTACAAATGCTTCTATCACCCTGCCGGCCAAAGACGAGTTCAAGAGTAATCCAGTGACTCTTGCTTACGTAAGTTGGTGGTCAAAGGTAAGTTATGAGAACTCGGGGATGGCAAGTGGTACCAATTCTTCTCATTTACGCCCTGATGCATCGAGGGGGGTTGTTCTGTGGTTCCTACGCAACTGATACCTTTTGATTGCACGAGTGCTGCTACTTTGCAAGATAGACCTGTGGTTTTAGTCCCTCAATGCCCACGCTTGTCTTCTCAACATATGGATGCCTCTGAAGAGGCCGGTGATGAAGTTGATTCGCACGAAGATAGACTTGTTTTGCGGCAGCGTCAACAAGTTTTAAACAAGCGACGACTTGAAGGCGCACAGGTTGACAGCGATGTCAATTTTCGTCATAAGAAGAAAGAAGTGTTTAGGCTTCCTCAACTCGATGGCAATGTGTCGTTTGAGAAAGATGTATGCATTTTCTTCATCAGTCGTGACTTCTTCTGCTTTCATTGTTTTAGCTTTTGTTTTTAACAGCTTTCTTTGTTTTCTTTAGGTTGGGCCTTCTTGTTCTTTTGACTTGGTGACTACAGCATTTA